GTGAGACATGGTAAGACGCCCATCCATGTCAGGAATGATGTAATGGCCTAGCGACAGGACCCTTCACAAGGTGGGGGATGCATTGTTTACTGGGGCAGCTGCAGTGAGATGGGCCAGTGGTGAGCTTGCAAACAGATACTGCAGAGTGCCGACCGCACGGGACACCGTCTAAACAACAATAAGTCGGTCACGCGTGCAGCATCTACAGAAGTGAAACTTGGTTTAACCTGGAATCGTCCTTAGTTATGGCACTGCCGCCGCTCCCGCCAAGTAGCCAGCAGGATGATGGATCCTTTGTCACCAGGCCAAAAGGCATGGGAGTGGAGTTGAGCCTGGTGATCCAACGTTAACCTTACTCGCGTTATCCGTCGAGTAGTCCCAGGTAGACCGTTACGAGTCCAGTCCCTTATCAGGGAGAACCATGGAAGCCTTACTTTATAACCCTACCGCCTCCTCGCGCATTGTTTCTTTTCGAGGATATATTCCTCACAGCGAGCCAAAGTGGCACGTTTTCTTGTTCCTTTGTTTTTTGTTTTTACGTCGTCTGTCGTATGATTCCAAGCCGAGTCTGTTTTTTGCCATAAACCTTCCCATATGGCTTGCAGTTGGTGACGACTTGAACACTCCACAATTATTTGGACCCTGATGACTTGCATTGCTTCGCGACGAAACTACCTAAGGTGGCTTCCCGTCTCTACCACGCTCACCTATAAACAATTCTCATCACCCATCATCCAATCTCCCTAACCTAGAGTTCTGTTTCTAGCCTCACTTGGTTCCCCCTCCTCGAAGACGCGCTCTGCATTAGAAACTTTGTTTCTCCTTGTATCATTATCCACTTGACACCTACAATCGAAATATGTTCAACTTCTAGACTACCCATCAAGGTCTATATCTCCCTCTTCAAGCATCCTATCGAAAATCCCTCTGTACACATCAGAAGTGCAACTCGAGACTCCAGTTTTCATTTGCATATTAGCTTGAGAAAATCCTCCTTATGCAGTCAGAGAAATCAAACGTGCCCAGGTGGCGGCGGTTCCTGGGCGGCGGCAGCGGACCTACCGGTGCCAGGCCAAACGAATCCTACGGTCCTTCCAGATGGAGCATGGGTGTTCTGAACGATAAAAAGACTATTGAAGTTCCAGGTAAGCTCAAAGCTCACGTGTTTTCTATATCAAATTCGCATGACTGACGCGTTATAGGTTCCGTGCTTCTTCTGGCATCACATCGTAATGAGCCTCTTGGTCTGCGGAATGTGCACGCTAGAACCTCTCACTCATCTATTCCTGCTGGCTTTCCTGTTGATACACGAAGGACATCAGCCTCATCAGCAGCAGCGGCTGCTGCTGCTGCCTCAGTCGTGGAGAGTCAAGCTTCCCCCGGCGAGAGTGACGGCAAGAAGAAAACAAGTGATGGGGCTATCATCCTAGAACCACAGCCTGAAGAATCAGGAAATGATCCTTTGAACTGGCCTGCTTGGAAACGAGACATTGCTCTTTTGTCGCTTGGTTTCTACTGCATGATTGGCGGCGGCACAACTCCCATTATCGCCGCCGGCTTCACCGACGTTGCAGAGACATACGACATGGATGTCGAGAGGGTCGCTTTGACCACTGGACTCTACATGATGGGAATGGGTCTCGGCTCCGTTGTATTCTCACCAACCGCTATCCTATGGGGTAAACGCCCAGTATATCTCGGCAGTGCATTCCTGTTCATTGGGACATCACTCTGGGCAGCATGGTCTCCAAGCTTTAATTCTCTCCTCGCGGCCAGAGTCTTCCAGGGCTTTGCCGTTAGCCCTGTTGAATGTCTTCCATCAGCCACAATTGCCGAAATCTTCTTCCTCCATGAAAGAGCCTACCGCATTGGTATCTATACTCTTCTTTTGCTTGGCGGCAAGAATCTGATCCCCCTTGTCAGTGCCGTTATCATTGGCGGTCTCTCGTGGCGTTGGGTTTTCTGGATCTTGGCCATGATTATTGCCTTTGGTGCTGTACTTCTCTTCTTGTTTGTCCCGGAAACCTTTTGGGATCGCACCCCCCACGCAAGACCTAAGCATCCATCCAAGCGTCCAAGTTTTCTTCGCCGGCTCTCATCTCGACATGCGGTTCCGCAAACTGGCGGAGAGGGGCTACTTCAGGGTGAGCCTGAAGCGCACTTCGCAAATGCGGACCATGCTCAAGATGGATGCCAATCACCTGCTGTTCTTCATCGAGGTCGGGATCTCCATGTTGGCTTTGCTGAGTCTGGCGTCGCCGCTGAAGAAGCCGCAGCCTCTGTGACTCCAGTTTCGCCTACGGCGGTAGTCCATCCGTCTGGTAAAAATCCAGCTGCCCCAGGGGATGTCGACAGTACGACTGGAAGTGAGTCCATCGGCACGTCTTTCAAGCTGGGTCCAAACCTCGAGAACGAGAAGCTCGATGCCTCGCGGCTCCAGGGGCCGCCCAAGATTCAGGCTTACACACACAACCTCCGTCAGCAGCCTCCAAAGTCATTCGTTCAACAGCTTAAACCCTGGCATGGAAGGCTAAACAGCGATAGCTGGCTCAAGGTCATGGTCCGCCCTTTCATTCTATTCGCATACCCGGCGGTCCTTTGGTCAGCTGCCGTGTATGCTTGCTCTGTGGGCTGGCTTATCGTCATCTCTGAATCGATTGCCATGATATACCGCGACAAGGATTCCTATAATTTCACCGCGCTCCAGACTGGCTTAGTGTATATCTCGCCTTTTATCGGTGGTATCCTGGGAACTGGCGTGGCTGGCAAGGTCAGTGACATTATCGTCAAGATCATGTCGAGGCGTAACGGTGGTCTCTACGAGCCTGAGTTCCGTCTTGTCATGGCCCTTCCTATCCTCATCAGCACATGCATAGGCCTCATGGGCTTTGGCTGGTCGGCAGAAGAAAAAGATCATTGGATGGTCCCTACCTTCTTCTTTGGAGTTGTGTCATTTGGGTGCTCACTTGGATCGACTACATCCATCACATTCTGTGTGGACAGCTACCGCCAATACGCCGGAGAGGCTTTGGTGACGCTTAACTTTTCAAAGAATATCTTACATGGGCTTGTTTTCAGCCTCTTCGTTACGCATTGGTTGCATGGCGATGGGCCGAAGAAGGTGTATATCTGGATTGGTATAATCCAACTACTTCTAATGCTATGCACAATTCCTATGTACATCTACGGCAAGAGGGCACGCATGTGGACAGTTCGAGCAAATTTGATGGAGAAGTTCTGATTTCGAATGGGCATTGCTTGGAGTTTTGACACCTTTACTGCATGAGACAGAGCGCACCGCATGATCCTTAATTTTGACGATACGGAGTTTATCTGTTTTGTTATTGCCTACAACATATGGCCTGGCACGCAAGTGCTATTGCATTGACCACCGAGACCCAGCATGATTTGGAAGGATACTTCTGTTAGTCAAGGTGGCGATTCGTGGTATTATTGAGAATAGATTTGTGCATCCCTTAACTCGGTTATCGCTGGTGATTTCTATCGAAACCTCAAGCAATAAGAGACTAGCTCAGCTGTTTGACAGTTGCTCCCATATCTTTGCCTTGATGGATGTCCTCCCGGTTCCGGTCTGAACTACCACAATATAGGGGGACATGTAGCTGGAGTCTTGCAGGCCTGCCCCTATCGACTTTCGTCACACGCCCAGAGCTGACAAGCACAATAATGAAAAGTCGCCAGGTGATGTCACGACTAAATGGCGTTTAGAGGCTCTCTCCCCTGCTATATGTAAGGGATATGCCCTGAACCAGCAACGTTTTATGGTAGTTGAGTATTATGGGATTAGCTTTGATCTTTACAGATTCGAGAAAGGGGCAATTGTTTTTTGGAATCAAGTATCATTAACTGAACGCTGTCTATTCCTTTCTGTTTACCCGTCGATGCTTAACCTTCAGGTCTCAGATCATCATCAACAAGAAGTGGCTCACGGCTCCAAGAGCTTTGTTTGTAAAAGAAAGAACTTATTAGAGCACACTGCAAAGCAGTCTCCTAGCGACGCCAGCTTCTTGTGATCAAGCTTGATTACAGTTATACGCCCCACATCAAAAGATATCATAGCCTCTCTGGCGGGCTTCTCAGGTAATCATAATCAACTCATTGCCTACCATTTTATGTTCACCATGATATCCAAGTTTGAAATAAGACTGACGTGCGTGTGAATCAATACGAGCAACCGCTATCTTGCACGTAAAAGTGCCAGTTGTCTGCATCTAAGCTCGGATCCTCAGGCAACGGCTTGTCGGATACTGGCCGCGGCACAGATTCTGATGGTTATCTCCCTCTGACTACTGATGATTTGTCAGGTTCCGGCTGATTGATTTCGATATCAAAGTGAGATCGAGACTGAGGGCTTATAGTAATCGGATACTAATATACCGAGGTACAGCATGTTGTTCAAGCACACGGACACATGTACCGTATATCACACTCATAATATCCTTTCAAGGGGCGGCAAGCGGGTACTTGTCAGTGCGATGATGCATGCCATGACGCTTCCTGAGAAATAAATTCACCACCGTGGTCTAACTGAGTCCTTGATGCTGAAGGCAGAATGTTGGGAATGATTAGACTGGAAAATATTTCCACATTAGCGAGGAGCTTGAGACACAAATCAATGTTGCAAGAATAAGCTATACTTTAGGATGTCTTGGCCTACAGTTTGATTTGTATTCTTGTGGCAAACGAATAACAGCAGCCCGTTCTCCTCATTTGTTCTTCTCCTTGTATATGCAGACAATTTTGCGCAAAATGGTGATGTTTTTGTGTGAAATGCCCCTGATGGTATATATCTACGCCATATGCAATCAACGCTAATCCCAAGACACCGTATCCAACGCCCTTTCTTTAGTTCATACATCTCAGGGACTAAAACACCTGTTTTTCCCTGCAAGGCATCGATTCGTGTCCCACTTGCTTCATCAAATTCATGTTCATCCCTCGTTATGTGTCTGAGGCAACCCGGGATGCAACCTTGTAGTTTACATGAGAACACAATCACCTTCTTGTTGTCTCTCCATCTTGCTACGGGAAATGCGCTCACGCTGACGCGCGCCGTTCTTGCCTGCACCACGCTTTAGATCCTCTAAGCGCTCACGAGCCTTCGGGAAATCTTGGGCTGTGCACTGTTGTCAGTTGTCGCCCACAAGTATGATTCTATTGCACTTACCGGCTGCTCGCCAATACCATCGCTTTGCATCCTCCAGATTTGGGGGGACGCCGATACCTACTTCTGTGAAGTAACCCATGGCATATTCGGCCTTAGCAAGGCCTGCAATGGCAGCCTTGCGGGCCCAAAGGTAGGCCTCGGTGTCACTCTGCCCTAGTACACCTTCACTGCCTGTGAGATACCAGCCACTGAGTGCAAGCTCTGCCTGGTGCTCCTCTTGTGTGGCAGCTTTTGAGTACCATTGAATGGACTGACGAGGGTCGATCGGACAGCCCAGCAATCCATATTCAAAAGCACATCCAAGTCGATACTGTGAGAACTTGTATCCCAGGTCAGCAGCTTGAAGGAACAGACTGTATGCATATGCTTCATCTCGAATGATAGCATCGTTGGGTTGGGCTGATTCGTATAACAAGCCGAGTTCGTGTAGTGCGTGTGGATTCTCTCCATCTGCTCGCTCTGCAGCCCGCTTCAGCCATCCCACTGCTTCCCTGGGATTCTTGGGCTGACCAAGAAGCCCTTTCAGTAAGATCATCCCAACCTTGTACATTGCTGGAGGATCGCCCAAAGTGGCAGCACGTTTGTACCACTGAATTGCTTTCATTGGGTCCTTACGTGTACCACCTCCTTCCTCATGGCCAATCTCGCAGCACACTGCAGTTCGATAAGCTGCTGCAGGATGTCCAAGTTTTGCAGCAGACTGGTACTGAGTGAAAGCTTCCTTATGATCACTATCACCGAAGAGACCTCGTCCGAGACAATCTGCCAGGAGGAACATGGCGTCTGGATTCTGGGCATTAGCCAGCTTTTTAAGAATCTTATGACAATCGATAAGATAACGCTCGCGTGCCCTTGTACGTTGTTTAGGGTCTGGCATCTTAGGTGCCAAGACGTCAGCAGCTTCGACCAACTTCTTGGCCAGTCTCAATGCTGAGTCCTGGTCACTCGAGTTGTTCTTGATCAGCATTCTGAGATGTTCTAGTTCTTGTGTGGTAACAGGGCCTTCGTCCCTGGCCGGCTGCCGTTGACTGTTGTTCCTAGGTGGCGACCGTTGCTGCTGTTGATACTGAGGTTGTCGTGGCTGAGCCTGAGGTTGTGGTTGCGGTTGCGGCGGCGGCTGAGGGGCTGGCGTAGAGACTCCGTAGTTTCGGATAGGAGCTGGCTTGTTACCCAGATGAACCATTGAATCTTGCATGAGACCCGGACGGATAGGAGCGGGATGTGAAGGAAGACCATCCGGATTCATGGGTCCACTAGTACGAGCACCATTCATAGCTTCTGGTGCACTAGGTCCTCTAGCCGGTATTTGGTTATAATCCTGATCATACGCAGCCTGGTAGTTGCTCATCGGTGGAACTGGTGGGACTGCGGGGACGTCTGGCACATCGCCAGCCATCTCAAACACGGCTGTTTGAGGTTGACGAAGGACTGGTTGTGACTTGGCGTGATTAAGGACAGCTGTTTGGTGGGCTCCTCGCTGAGGCTGTTCATTGCTAGGGCGCATTGACTGTTCGAACGAACTTCGTTGCCCTGGAGCTGGTGCAGCATCGAAGTCCGGCAGGCTGACTCGGTTGTGCTGGGATTCTGGTTCGTATTCAGGGTGGCTGTTACGTTGATTGTCGAAATAGGCATCGTAAACTTCGTCATAAGAAGCTGTCGATGGTTTATGGTATGTGTTTTGGTCATCATACTCCCCACTATAGTGGCCTCCCGGGCCTGCTTGTGGCCCAGCTGTGTACGACCTTTGGGGAGGTGCCCGGTGACCGCCAGCAGTCGAAGGTCTGTGTGGTATCCCTCGGCCAGCGGGGGTGCTATATTGCATTGCGTCCGTCCGTTTGGGTGGTGGCATGTTGCCTCTTTGTCGCATGTCATCCACAGGCATCGTTCTGCTTCGTGCCGGTGGGCCAAAGCCACCTGCAGGAGGCTCTTGGGCGCCGTTATATCCATCGTTATAATTTCCATAACCATCCGGGGCTCCGTAGCCTGGATATTGCCGTGGAGGACCCCCTTGAGGATAACCTCTCGGAGGGGGTCCGCGGCCCGCATTCACTGGCGGTCTTCCATATTCGCCCTGACTGCGTTGGGCATCCGAACTGGTACGCCCATTAGTTGGCACCATCGGTCTCTGGTTCATATCCATATTCGACATTTGATCGACCATCTGCTGCTCATAGGGAATGTCTGGCCTTCGTCCACGCTCTTGTGACACGTGCTTGTGTCCGAAATGCCCGTCTCGAGGACTCATGGGAGGCGTGTTCATAGGATGGCGGCGAGCTTTGGATACGATTGTAAGCTGGGGCCCCTAGCATCAGGGCTGAAACTCACCTGCAGGATCCGAATTCGACGCATATGGTCCTGGACGTATTCCACCTTGCCCAGGGTGTCCATTAGGAATGCCTCTGGCTGCTCCTGGCATTGGACCTCCTCGAGGAGGGCGCTGTTGCCCACGATGCGGATCAGCTGTCTGCGGACGAGGAATGGGCCCTCCGCGAGGACCGGGTATCACGCTACCACCACGCCCATATTGGTCTTGTGGAGGTGGTCCTCTCCCATAATTCTGATCTTGACGTTGGCCTCCAAAATCCTGTCCAGAGCCATAACCATAGTCTTGGTGATACTCGTCATACTGTTGTGATGCTCCATACTGTTGTGGCGGCGCATTGACTTGTTGCCGCGGGGCATGCCTAGGCGGTGCTTGGCCCCCGTAAGGTCGCTGTTGGCCACCATAGCCGCCTTCGTATGCCATGAGGGTGGTTCGACCGTTGGCGACACGAACAAACTTTGCGTTTGGATGTCGTATAGTGCAAATGGTTGCAAACCCAGAAATCAAGAGAAGCTCTAGGCCCTGAGTATCGGTCGGCGCAGAATGAGTTTCAATCACTGTCGCATGGCGTGCCGCAGCCTCAGCAACTGGGTTTCCAATAAGTGTGTGATCGGCGGTCCAGATCGTGAAAGTACCGTAAGAGAAAGGATGACAAGTTGTCGATGATCCCAGCCCAAAAAAGACTTGGCAAATAATGAAAGAAGGATAATTGCGTCCTTGAGTCTCTAAGTACTAAAGTAGCTGGCAAGATATGGCACAAAGCTGGCAAAGACACCAAGTTCGTCTGCGATACAAGAAAATGGAAGCGACGATAAGAGGTACCAGAAGTGGCGCAAGAGGAATATCGAATAACCTCAGTTCGAAGGTGTGCTCATTTGAGGAGAAGTATTACCATTAGTAGGTATCTTTTCAAGTGGCGCAGATTTCAAGCGGACGGGGGATCGATCCCCTTTATGCTTGGTTCATCCGAAACGGAAGAGCTCAAGGTATCCATGAAGAGGCAGGTCAGGTTGCCTCCAACCTCCAACGTGACCTGCCCCCAAGTGCATGTGGTTTCCGTCCATTCAGTCAGGTCCAGTTGTTCTTCAATGGAAGCTTGTGGAGCAAAGCGCTAAATCTCCAGTGGCTTGTCATTTAGGGCCGTTTTCTAGGTTACTCTGAGTGGGGTTGTCCAGGTACCAGTCTGCATGCGGGTACCTTACTTGAACCCCAGCCCCTGTCGCTCGGGATAAATTATGACACTCACTGGATGGAGGACTTGAGGGGCATCAATGCCTGGATTGTACTCCGTAGGGCCCTTGGTCTTAATATAATGCTGTATGTACGGGCCCTGTTCTGTCAAAGGGTTTTGACTACCTATGCCGCGAAAGAAAACAAGCGACTCGGCACCAACGAGGTTCCATAGAAGCAAAGCGCTTGATGGAATGGAGGAATGCAGTCACGAACTGACAGCGACTCTTTTTTCGAGTCAATACCCGCACAGTCAATAATGGGCAAACCTAAGCCGCGGTGCTTCTTTCACGGGGGTTTCCCACTAGGCAATCCATTCCAATGATTCGAAGAGTCGAAAGACATGGCGCTTCGCCGCTACCGGCTTGGCTTACAATCGCCAACAGGCTGCATAACTGATTGTGGCTCAATCCAACCCCTGCTAATTAACGGCAACGTTAATCGGTTTTACTGGCCCGGCTTCCGTCTTCAGGCGATGACTTATCCAACAGGGCTTGGGTATTATTGCTTGCTTCACACAAAGCGTTGTTTTGTATCACAATGCTCGTCGTCATACTACCCTGGCCTGGCATTGATTGCTCCCGCAAGGATTTGATCAATCACTCATTCCTCGAATAGGCATTCACGGGAAGGCTCTTAGCGGAAAAGACTGGCCTCAAAGGCCGAAACAAACCAATTAAACAAAGGGCTCTCTTGATTGCGCCCTGTCTCTAGTCTACGTAAATGCCGTAAACAGTACTTCTCTTGCACCCCTGATAGCCCTAAGCACGGTGGCTCGCATAGCATCATCTGTGGATCTGGCCAAGAGCTATGAATCCCTCAACGAACGGTTTTCATGGCGCTCTCGAATTTGACAGGTCTTGTGGCGGTTAATCGGCGCTAGGTTGGAGGGAACGTTGCGGTACTTGTCCCCGAGCTTTCGCTTAGCCCTCTGTCGAATGTATTGACGTCAAGAATCCGGAGGCTATGCGATGAGAAAGTTGTTGAAATGGATACAGCCAAGTACAGGGCCGTGAGACAAATGTGTTGGAGCGAACCTGTAGATCCGACGAAGCCGGAGATTCATTTGTCTACCAGCTCGATTCCTGATACGCCATTCGTCAAGGACGTGTCCGAGCTGACTTCAAATGTCAACCAGTCAGGAGCCACGAAGCCTCTTTTTTGGGAAGACGGTTATCGCCACCTCTCAGCTCCTCGTTGAACACGAAAGGAGAATACCACGTTGTGGGAAGCTGAAACATTGTCTTGGCTCTTGAACCGTCTAGGTGGTGGTCGGCCTAGCAACTTTTGCTTTAACATGGCTACCCTATGGCGAGCTATTTGCTATATGTATTCACAACCAAAGATCTGCATGTGAGTTGCAGTTTGCATGTTTTGGCTTCTATAAAATACCACATCGAGATATCTCAAAGGGTAATGGTGGCAAACCCAATTGCAGAGTATCAACCTCTTGTCAATGCTATGATGCTAAAATGTTCTTGACCCAAGTCAAGGAACATATCCGGCTTCGGGTCATGCTCAGCTCCGTGACCGCTTTCCCGATTGGTCTACAACCAATAAGGGCATACTGCCAAATCAATGACGGGTGCAGAATCGTGCAAATCATCATTGGAAGAATTGATACCAATTCAGATTCAACTCCAATTTCTTCTTGTTGCATTTCACGCCTTCAAATCCTGTAATCTTGTTCTCCCCCCTTCTCATAATGGCTGCCAAACAACCATCTTCAAGATGGTGGTTCTGGACCAAAGTCCTAATGGGGTAAGTCTTTGCCATTATCAGAGTCTGTTAAAGATCAAGCTGATGTATTGCAGTGGCGCTGCTGTCGCAGTCGGCGGACCGGCCTTTACAATGTGGTTAACTCCTACTGAGGAAGAGCTTCGATCGAGATACAACCCTGAATTGCGGAAGAAGAGTTTGGAGAACCGTGAGGAGCGACAACAAGAGTTTGACGACTTTGTGACTCGACTGAAGGAATACTCCAAATCGGATAAACCAAGTGTGTTTCTTTCGCCTTCGAGGTACCAATTACTAACCTGAGCTATCTAGTCTGGATTGTTGTGAAAGAAGAAGAGGAGCGAAAGCGGAAGGCCGCCGCCGCCGCTGTGAAAGCCTCTCAGAAGGATGCAGACACTCGACGAGAAGAGATGAGGAGAGAGGCAGGCCTTGACGCAAAATAGAGCCTCCAATGGGAACCGGAACTGAATGCTCTTTATGCTTGTAAGATCATATGGCGTGGTGAAGGACAGCTCATGTATAACAACTTATCATAGGAAATACCTTAGTTGCAGGGGTGAGTAAATTCTTTGGAGTTTTTGGAATCAACATTCAACTGCTTTCATTCGAAACCAAGATGCGATCATCTTTCATTGCCTAGACTGCCCTGGCACGACCACCGATATTTCCAATAGAGTGGCTATCCGAATCATCAATTTTCTCGAGACAATTGAGAAAGTGCTAAATGAATGTGATCACACCTAGGAGGCAGTAGTAGCTCTACCTGACAAAGCCCTTGTTTAGGTGCAATTGAAGTACATGTCCTCGTCTCAGACAATATATTCCAGGAACTAACTGCATAGAGTATCTCAAGAGCTCGACATCAAATGTCATGGCTTCCATGTGCGGGCGGGCTTCTTGACTTACCCCACGAGCCTGGCTGGAGGCGGCTATAACGTCACGGGCGATGAATGTGGTACCAGCAAAGGGCGGAGCACCAGAGCCCCTCCTTCGGCGAAATGGTAGTTCCACAGGCGAAAAACGCACAAAATCTACTTTGACTTATCACCACCGATTCGAAGCCGACGGCGACAAACAGCTAATTACCAAGCCTAACTTACTGGTACGTTGCTGAACCCACGCATGCACGAATTTCCGAGCAAAAATACTTCCAACAATTGATTTGTCCCGTCCGAAGCCGCCCCAACTGACGAGTTTTGTCCCAGTTTCGATCGAGTCCCCCGATCCCCCGCAATCGAATTTCGCCCATCATGTCGTCTGCCGAAGTCCAAGAACGTCTCAAGAAGCTCGGCCTGAGCGCCCGAACTGGTACGTGACTTTTGCACAATTTTACGATTAAATTCGAGGTGAGAGTAGCAAACTGATCTGTCATCTAGGGTATGTCTTCGCATTTCGATGCTCTTCGGCTGTCACCATTAGTTGTCGCTGCTAACGGAACGACTCAGTGGAAAGGGTACCCCCCGACGAAAGGTCAAGCGTGCGCCCGCCCGCTCCGGTGCCGACGACAAGAAGCTTCAGCTCGCCCTTAAGAAGCTGAACACTCAGCCCATCCAGGCTATTGAGGAGGTGAACATGTTCAAGCAGGACGGAAACGTCATTCATTTCGCTGCTCCCAAGGGTTAGTCATCCTAATATGGCATGTTTCGTGGGGCTTGATATATATTGACATTCCCTTTCCACTCCAACAGTTCACGCTGCTGTTCCTTCCAACACCTTTGCCATCTATGGTAACGGCGAGGACAAGGAGCTCACCGAGCTTGTCCCCGGTATCCTCAACCAGCTCGGCCCCGACTCCCTCGCTTCTCTGCGCAAGCTCGCCGAGAGCTACCAGAACCTCCAGAAGGAGAAGGGCGAGGACGATGACGAGATCCCCGACTTGGTCGAGGGCGAGAACTTCGAGAACGAGCCCAAGGTCGAGTAAATTTTCTCTACACAGTCAAGGGCGAAGGGGCAGTAAAATCGTAGGTCTGTTCGGCCAAGAGGCTGGCTAGTCTCTCCTACGAAGCGGGTTTTATGTTTCCCCCTGGTATTGGGCAGTCGTAACAGTCACTCCCCCGCTCTATGTTGAGTAGCAGAGGAGCAGGTACGGGTACGCAAAAGGTCACAGCTTGGGAATGTCATGGTGGAATGGCGACCTTATGCTCGCTGAGGTTGATTGATCTGTACGAACAAACAAAATACGACTTACATCGGGAGAAATACCAATCTCTAATGATGTCAATGATTGCTTCGTTTTTCTAGTTGGAAATCTGACCCTCCGTCATTTTTTATCCACCCTGACAGTGCCATCCCACGGGTCTCGTCCTTAACTTGCCGTCGGTGAGCCATCAACTGTCCTTCTTTCAGGTGGCGATACGTCTTACCACCAGGACAAATTGCTGTAGGAGAGGAAACGCCGCCTATTCTACTAGCGAGATCGTTTGCTGCCTCCCACATGCAACGCTTGGAAACTTGACTTGCTCCGTCTGTCTTGAAAGCCTTCCGACCTTGAATAACCCCCCCAATGAGATTCTCTTCGAAACCTGATCGTGACCATGTCGCTGCTAGATTACTCGCCGAAATCTTGCATGCTCTCATCTGTACAGATAGTTTCGAAAATTCGAATTCCAGGCCCGTCGTCGCAACTGAGAACTCCCTGAACGAATAGCCCCCCAGCCACTCTTTGCCAGCCATGAGCTTCATCCTGCCTTCTGCTGAGAAGGCACGTCGACATGCAAGATCAGAGTATTGGGATCTTGGCAAAATGATGCTACTAATGTATGCATTGGTAGGATCGATGAATATTGATGTGATGGCTGAGAGAAGTGAAGTGCATTGTTTCAACGCAAGTTTATCAGAGCAGGACTTGGATAATGTTGGGGGCGCATCTCCTCGAGCAGGTTTTCGTCGAACAATCCCAGTTCTAGAGAAGCAAGCCCTCCCTAGTAAAGAGATTTGTGCATCACCTCCAGGCTTTGCATTTACAGGAGTTGGGGTTTCCCATGCTGAATCATCTTCTTGAGAAGCCATTGTGAGCTCCATACTAGCATCACCGCCTGCTTGTTCAGTAAAAGTAGTGTTTTCGTTTGAAATTACTTACATGGTGCTTCTGAGCAGTACATGTGCAGCTTGACGCGGTCCTTGATTTCGAATAATTGCAAAGGGGTGTCATTCAGATTTGAAGCGTTGGTCTTTTTCTGGAGGATACTCGACTCGTCATCTTCATCGAGGATGTTCTCGCATTCATCAAGCAAGAAACGGTTGAAAGTTCGTATAGCTAGGACCTCCGCATGCCAGTCATGGATGCCCACGCCATTGGATTGTGATATTTTTGACGCAGGTAGGCATTTCATGCCAGTTCTACGATAAGAAATTTTAGGATATGTAGAGAAATAAACAGGAATCAAACACGCACGCTAGGGCTAGACATGTTAGAATGCCATCTTTCTCAGCAACGATGCCACTCAGCGGAACCCATTCATGAACCCCATTGTCACGAACAGCAGGTTTTCGCTTCGAGGGTAATTTGTAGAATTGTTGCAGTACTGCTTGTGCCACCAGATCCGCCTGAGACGTCATCTAGCCATATCCAGTCTATCCAAAAGGCTGATGCAAAAGCCGCGGGCCAAGACTAAAGACTTTGGACTTTTTGTCGTGTTGAGGTTCCACGGGTGCCTTCCGGAGAATCATCGGTAGCTTACCTAAGGCAAGCGCCCCTGCACGTGATGGGTCCAAAGCCGAGATTGGAAGAAACTAGCCCTAAGCCGCTCACACGAAATTCGATTCGAGAAAGTGCGACCCTCAACCTTCCATTTGCCATTGCCAATCCACGGTCAACCACACAACACCTTGTCGCCTTCAACGCACAACCAGCGACAAGATGCGAACCTACGAGGACACCTTCTCCGGCGCGAGAATTTACCCTGGCAAGGTACGCTCCTTGAGCCACTATCCCCATCCGTCCCCTTGATGCGATCCGGTCGATTATCGAAATGCGAAACTCCCCAGTCGCTGGAGGGGGATGACGGCGATGACGGATCGCAGGACGGGCACTCGGTGTTTATAAATCAGGACATCAAAAGGCTAACGGGTATCGCTTCACAGGGTAAGCTCTACGTCCGTGGCGACAGCAAGATCTTCCGATTCCAGAACGGCAAGTCGGAGTCTCTCTTCCTGCAAAGGAAGAACCCCCGCCGTATCGCATGGACCGTCCTCTACCGACGACAGCACCGCAAGGGTATCTCTGAGGTACGAATCTACCAAATTTGAGCAGCACTCACAGCAGCTATCGCTGCTGTTTGTGTGCTGCTGATCGCCGCCATTCAACGGAGCTGACATATTCTACAGGAGGTTGCCAAGAAGCGAACCCGCCGCACCGTCAAGGCCCAGCGAGGCATCGTTGGTGCTTCTCTCGACGTGATCAAGGAGAAGCGCAACATCCGACCCGAGGCCCGTTCCGCTGCCCGAGCCCAGGCCATCAAGGAGAGCAAGGAGAAGAAGCAGGCCGATGCTGCTGCCAAGAAGTCCGAGAAGGCTAAGCTCGCTGCCCAGGCCTCTAAGGGCCAGGCTGTCCGACAAGTCAGCAAGCAGGGTGCCAAGGGTTCTGCCCCCAAGGTTCAGGCCAAGAGCCGTTAAATTAGGAATGGACTTTGAGGGAGGAAGAAAATGGAAGAGTGGAGTCCGTGGTTCTTGTGTCTTTATCCGGCCGGTTCTTCTACAATCTCGGGTGCATGGATTGCCAATAGGGTGCATTGATAGCTGAGCAATGCAAAATGGTCAAACAAAAGCTGCATCTTTTTTTATGCCGTGGTGAACACGGGCTGTACAATCACATGGTCCTAGGTAAACAAGTCACGGCGTCGATCCGATTGCTGGCAACACGCTTTGGTGGATTTAACGACAAAATGCCTTATGATACGAGAGCAGGCTTCACAAAAAAGACGTTTCAGACCGAGACAACTTTGATATGCTTCGAATTGAACACACATCGATCTATCTTCACCCTTCGTGCTTAGTACTTGATGTCTATATTCTATTCCCTTTCTGCATTGCAATGCAACTTCAAAATTACAGCTGGGCCAGGACACCCAGGGCACCAGACTTCTCGATGCTCCCAGGCTCCTCATCCCTCGCAGCGTAGACGACCTTGCCTTGGTCGACAATAATCGCAAAGCGTCCAGTTCGCTCACCAATATTCCAACCGATGGTTTGGGAGAACTTAGCATCCTTGTCGGACATGAAGAGCTGGTCAAGTTAATCCTGTGATGCTGACTTGTTCAGTAAGAGAGAAACTCACGATCTTGTCGTCGGTAACACCGTTGGCCTTGGCCCAGCCGCTCATGACAAAGGGGTCATTTACAGCGATGACAATGACCTGATCAACGCCCTTGGCCTTGATCTTATCGACGTGTTCCAAGTAGGAAGGAATGTGAGAGCCAGAGCAAGTAGGTGTGAAGGCACCTGGGATAGAGACAAGAACAACCTTCTTGTTCTTGAATTCTGTATTGAGCGATGTCAGTCTGCCTGAACTCTTTGACGAGACTTGATTGTGAGATCACTTACCTTGGCTGGCGTTGAAAGGGACAGGTGTACCACAAGTAGTGAACTCGGAGGTTTCAGGCGAGGGAGGGATATAGCTGAACCAGACACCCTCTGGGAAGTTATCGCCGACCTTAAGCTCAGACATTTTGACTTTATTTAAGAAGTTGTTGTGTATAGGGGTGCAGGTTGAGCAAGAGCAGAAGAAGATGTATGTCGAAGTGTGAGGAAGAGAGACTGAATCATGCCCAACTTTGAGGGCATCTGGAGAAGTTTATATCGTCCCTGCCTTCCGCATGTAGACAGTGCCGCTCTTTCCCTTAGGCACCTCAGTCTACGACTCGCTAGGTACCCCGCCGCTTCTCAGTCTTTAAAGAGGGTCTTGATGAGGTCAGTGAAGGCATGTGGGGATCCTCGGAAAGCGGTCGGCGCGGTCGGCGCGGCCATGGTGGAACCGCTATCGGCCACTCAAGCCGCAATGGTATTGAGATACGCAGTACCTTGATGATAGAGACCGGGTTTTGCCCAGGATCCATTTGGAATCATGTAAAAAAAAAAAATTCGATGCTCTATTAATAAGATGAGGTTCTTGACAAATGTTCAGTTCTCTGCCTAGCCATGACGCATCCTTCAGATGTCCACATTCACGATGATGTCCAAATGAGGCTCGGCGCCAGCTTCGGCAAGCGAGATGCCAGTCGGCGCAATATCTGTCACCCATTTCATAATCTGATAAGATTATCAACGTCAGGAAGACGATGATTTGCAGAAAGTTTAGGTAGTTGCATATTGTGATTCCAAATGGTCACACTACAGTGATAAGTTTAAATAATGCTATGATTACTGATGACAACCAGAATGTTAAGTCAATGCGTGTACTTCCCTTTGTATTGCGGAACAGTTGCTTTTGTGTCACGAATAAAGTCACCCAACTGCCAAACCATGAGAGTCTCCGGTGTGGCTGAGATTCGTATCCGTGGATGTATACCTGTGTCACTGATAAAGTGTAGCTATATGCGAGACCGTCAAGCTCGTAGCCACGACATCAGTTGATTCTTCGATGGAGAATTCGCCAGTCTCGTTTGATGTGAGTCGTGTATAGAGTTTTCCAAGAAGATTCCATGAACCACTTTGTGTAAGTATAATTTATTACTCAAGTACATCAAGCATCTCGGCCCATGTAATTCATTGGGGAGGCGCAGAGCCACACTTAGAATAATACCTAGGAAATATGAGTAATTATGTCTAGTAAAACAATTATATCAAGCCAGTATCACACGAGTACTGTTGCTTTTGCTGATCATTGGGTTGACAGCAGCGCTGGACCATCTCCATAATAGAACCACGACAGTCGATGAAGAACAACCCTGAAATATTCCAAGACACAGATTCTTGACTTCATTGTCAACGAACCGCTAAGTGGAAATTATCATGAAGTTTAATCCTCAAGATATCCCGAACGGCTGCCATAACGGTTGTAAGCGGTTTGTAAACCTACCTCAGGTGTTAGTTTTACCTACTACCCTGGACCTAAGGACTTGTTCTTATTACCTTTTATCCTCTGAGTTAAATGAATATTTTACGAAAGGCACCAGACCTGTTTTACTTTATTTTCTTCTTCTTGTAAGTAGAATATCTCCGGATTGCATATGAATGAGCTTGAGGGATAATGCGTTAACCAGCATAGGTAGGGTACTGAATAATGTGTGCAACGGGGACGGGATATCTGCGCTGAGTTGCATCAAGCTGTGGAAACCTGCTATAATTAGAACACCTGGTTTTGCCGTTCATGCCCATAGAATGATGTCTACTGTCAATTGCCAGCCAAGATCATGATAAGATGCTTACCCGGTTTCAAACATTGATTGGCACACGGACCGAAGCGTCCCGGAGCGGGGGAGCACGACTTGCAGGAACCAACAACGTCGATATTTGATTTCTTCCAGCTAGATATAAGCCCTTAATATCATCAAACATTAAGGAAATGTCTAAAGAAAGTTCAGAGAAACCAATTGACAGCTCAGGTACATATAACCTATCCAAATGCCTTGCGAAGTTACACTGACGACCAATGTTCAGAGAATGGCGAACCATGGACAGTTGAGAAAGCCTTGAGTCACAATGACCTAGTTCACATATCAGACTCACCGATCTCATTTTTCCATCTTCTTGGCCTTCTCAAGACAACAAAGCGTGAAGGCTGGAAGAGACATGGAATCAAGTAGGTTGCACGCTGTTTCTGGGTATCCTTTACCGATGGGCTCACAAGTACCAGTCCAGAGTCGGTTGCAGATCATTCTTATCGAATGGGCATGGTAGCAATGTTTGCACCACAGGAACTTGACCAAGCCAAGTGCATGAAGATGTGCCTTGTTCACGACATTGCAGAATCTGTCGTGGGAGATATTACTCCTTTCAGCGGCGTCTCTAGGGCTGAAAAGGGTAGAAGAGAGGCCTCAACCATCGCTTATATTGCCAGTCGATGGTCTGGACCATACACTGCCGAGATTGAAAAGCTGTGGCATGAATTCGAAGCTGGTGAAACTCCGGAGGCTCAGTTTGCCCAGGACATTGACAAAATTGAGCTCCTTCTGCAAGCAGTTGAGTACGAAAGGGAGAGTAAGAATGAAAAAGATCTGGGCGAGTTCATGGGAGTTGCCCGAAAGTTAAGAACTGAAGCTGGAAAAGCATGGGCAAGTGAAATACTGGGGGGTAGGGAGAGGTTTTGGGAGGGCCGACAACACTTGAGGGGAGAACATGCCCAACAGGGTGGGCTCTCTGAAGAGATGACAAAGGCCCATGATGCATATTATGGATAGCTCGGGAATCATTTCCACGAGCCCTATACTTATTAGTCGTTGAATCTCTTGCGTGGATAAATTTTAGTGCCTTCGATATGGACGCTGATCAAAGCATTGGATCCTGACTTGTTGACATGCCCCAGAAGAAATAGGAGCAAACAACATTTGAATCGCAGTCACCCGAGACTAATTGCTACGGAAGTGTTTCCCAATAACATCAGCTTGGGGCGGAACATGCAT